AGTCAGAACCTCTGACTCTTGGACTTGTGATGTGAATCCTCCGGCCGTTAACTCCAAATAAACCATCATGTGTTTGACATCAAAGCTACTGCTCTTCCCGTGTCTCCTTCCTGAGTCGGTGACTCCCACTACATAGCTACACAGAAGTTTCCATTACACCTGTACTTTCTACTTCTTACATGTTGAACACAAATACCTGTCCTTTCTACTTCTTACATCTTGAACACAAATACCTGTACTTTCTACTTCTTACATCTTGAACACAAATACCTGTACTTTCTACTTCTTACATGTTGAACACAAATACCTATACTTTCTACTTCTTACATTTTGAACACAAATACCTGTACTTTCTACTTCTTACATGTTGAACCCAAATACCTGTACTTTCTAGTTCTTACATGTTGAACACAAATACCTGTACTTTCTACTTCTTACATGTTGAACACTAATACCTGTACTTTCTACTTCTTACATGTTGAACTCAAATACCTGTACTTTCTACTTCTTACATGTTGAACTCAAATACCTGTACTTTCTACTTCTTACATCTTGAACACAAATACCTGTACTTTCTACTTCTTACATGTTGAACACAAATACCTGAACTTTCTACTTCTTACATTTTGAACACAAATACCTGAACTTTCTACTTCTCTCATGTTGAACTCAAATACCTGTACTTTCTACTTCTTACATCTTGAACTCAAATACCTGTACTTTCTACTTCTTACATCTTGAACACAAATACCTGAACTTTCTACTTCTTACATTTTGAACACAAATACCTGAACTTTCTACTTCTCTCATGTTGAACTCAAATACCTGTACTTTCTACTTCTTACACTTTGAACACAAATACCTGTACTTTCTACTTCTTACATTTTGAACACAAATACCTGAACTTTCTACTTCTCACATGTTGAACTCAAATACCTGTACTTTCTACTTCTTACATGTTGAACCCAAATACCTGTACTTTCTACTTCTTACATTTTGAACACAAATACCTGTACTTTCTACTTCTTACATGTTGAACACAAATACCTGTACTTTCTATTTCTTACATGTTGAACCCAAATACCTGAACTTTCTACTTCTTACATTTTGAACTCAAATACCTGTACTTTCTACTTCTTACATCTTGAACACAAATACCTGTACTTTCTACTTCTTACATCTTGAACACAAATACCTGTACTTTCTACTTCTTACATTTTGAACTCAAATACCTGTACTTTCTACTTCTTACATCTTGAACACAAATACCTGAACTTTCTACTTCTTACATTTTGAACACAAATACCTGAACTTTCTACTTCTCTCATGTTGAACTCAAATACCTGTACTTTCTACTTCTTACACTTTGAACACAAATACCTGTACTTTCTACTTCTTACATTTTGAACACAAATACCTGAACTTTCTACTTCTTACATTTTGAACACAAATACCTGTACTTTCTACTTCTTACATGTTGAACACAAATACCTGTACTTTCTATTTCTTACATGTTGAACCCAAATACCTGAACTTTCTACTTCTTACATTTTGAACTCAAATACCTGTACTTTCTACTTCTTACATGTTGAACACAAATACCTGTACTTTCTACTTCTTACATCTTGAACACAAATACCTGTACTTTCTACTTCTTACATGTTGAACACAAATACCTGTACTTTCTACTTCTTACATGTTGAACACAAATACCTGTACTTTCTACTTCTTACATCTTGAACACAAATACCTGTACTTTCTACTTCTTACATCTTGAACCCAAATACCTGTACTTTCTACTTCTTACATGTTGAACACAAATACCTATACTTTCTACTTCTTACATGTTGAACCCAAATACCTGAACTTTCTACTTCTTACATTTTGAACTCAAATACCTGTACTTTCTACTTCTTACATGTTGAACACTAATACCTGTACTTTCTACTTCTTACATGTTGAACTCAAATACCTGTACTTTCTACTTCTTACATGTTGAACACAAATACCTGTACTTTCTACTTCTTACATGTTGAACTCAAATACCTGTACTTTCTATTTCTTACATGTTGAACCCAAATACCTGAACTTTCTACTTCTTACATTTTGAACACAAATACCTGTACTTTCTACTTCTTACATTTTGAACACAAATACCTGTACTTTCTACTTCTTACTTGTTGAACACAAATACCTGTACTTTCTACTTCTTACATGTTGAACACAAATACCTGTACTTTCTACTTCTTACATGTTGAACACAAATACCTGTACTTTCTACTTCTTACATGTTGAACACAAATACCTGTACTTTCTACTTCTTACATGTTGAACACAAATACCTGTACTTTCTACTTCTTACATGTTGAACACAAATACCTGTACTTTCTACTTCTTACTTGTTGAACACAAATACCTGTACTTTCTACTTCTTACATGTTGAACACAAATACCTGTACTTTCTACTTCTTACATGTTGAACTCAAATACCTGTACTTTCTACTTCTTACATATTGAACTCAAATACCTGTACTTTCTACTTCTTACATGTTGAACTCAAATACCTGTACTTTCTACTTCTTACATGTTGAACCCAAATACCTGTACTTTCTACTTCTTACATGTTGAACTCAATACCTGTACTTTCTACTTCTTACATGTTGAACCCAAATACCTGTACTTTCTACTTCTTACATGTTGAACACAAATACCTGTACTTTCTACTTCTTACATGTTGAACCCAAATACCTGTACTTTCTACTTCTCACATGTTGAACACAAATACCTGTACTTTCTACTTCTCACATGTTGAACACAAATACCTGTACTTTCTACTTCTTACATGTTGAACACAAATACCTGTACTTTCTACTTCTTACATGTTGAACTCAAATACCTGTACTTTCTACTTCTTACATGTTGAACTCAAATACCTGTACTTTCTACTTCTTACATGTTGAACCCAAATACCTGTACTTTCTACTTCTTACATGTTGAACACAAATACCTGTACTTTCTACTTCTTACATGTTGAACTCAAATACCTGTACTTTCTACTTCTTACATGTTGAACACAAATACCTGTACTTTCTACTTCTTACATGTTGAACTCAAATACCTGTACTTTCTACTTCTTACATGTTGAACACAAATACCTGTACTTTCTACTTCTTACATGTTGAACACAAATACCTGTACTTTCTACTTCTTACATGTTGAACACAAATACCTGTACTTTCTACTTCTTACATGTTGAACTCAAATACCTGTACTTTCTACTTCTTACATGTTGAACTCAAATACCTGTACTTTCTACTTCTTACATGTTGAACACAAATACCTGTACTTTCTACTTCTTACATGTTGAACTCAAATACCTGTACTTTCTACTTCTTACATGTTGAACACAAATACCTGTACTTTCTACTTCTTACATGTTGAACACAAATACCTGTACTTTCTACTTCTTACATGTTGAACACAAATACCTGTACTTTCTACTTCTTACATGTTGAACTCAAATACCTGTACTTTCTACTTCTTACATGTTGAACACTAATACCTGTACTTTCTACTTCTTACATGTTGAACTCAAATACCTGTACTTTCTACTTCTCTCATGTTGAACTCAAATACCTGTACTTTCTACTTCTTACATGTTGAACTCAAATACCTGTACTTTCTACTTCTTACATGTTGAACTCAAATACCTGTACTTTCTACTTCTTACATGTTGAACCCAAATACCTGTACTTTCTACTTCTCACATGTTGAACTCAAATACCTGTACTTTCTACTTCTCTCATTTTCCAAACAGCTGGTTCCTTTAGTCTGAATGTGTGTTTGATGCGTGATCATTATTCTTTAGAGTCATTGCGTGCCTATTGATTTGAACACGATCCGTGTATCCATCATTTCCTGGTCTTCTCTAAAGAAGAGGGACCAATGGAAACGTTGTCATGTTGCCGTTGTTCAGCATGGAAACATTCATTAGCTAACAATGACATTATTGTTCTATTAATATAAAGGGAGGTCAGGTACTCTTTAAAACAGCTGCTAGTTATGGGTACTTTTTACTCAAGTACATTTCAAAGCCTCTTTACTTTGACTTGAGTAAAGAAGTTTAGTCAGTACTTCTACTTTCACCAGAGTATTTTAAAACCTGAGTATCTGTACTTCTACTTGAGTAAAGGATGTGTGTACTTTTGCCATCTCTGAAGATGAGATAAATACACCCAATGACCCAAAGTATGTTGACACCAAAGCAGAGTATAGAGTTTGTAAAATAGGGGGGTGAGTTTGTCGGGGTCTCACAATCCGTTTCAATTCTGGGGTCCCAATTCAAATCATATCTTTTCCAAATCAGATTTTGTTAGAGTCCATTTCAGTAAAAAATAATCAAGATAATTCAAAATTGATTTGACATAACGCTGGGAGATGTATAAAGAACATTTTGGTGTAACTCACGACTCGTTCTGATTCTTGGGTTCCCGATTCGATTTAAATCTTTACAAAATCGGGTTTCGTGAGTCAATTACAGTAACAATTATAAAAAGGTATTAAATGAAAGATAGATAGGGAAAAATGATTAATATAAATATGCATTTAAACATAAAAAGTTAAAGGTAGAATGAGAAATACAGATTTAAAATGTAAAAGTAAGAAGTTAAATCCAAATAGATGTTTGGATTCAGCACAGAGGAGATCATTTCAGAATCAGATGACTGTTTCTTCATCCCGGGGGGTGTGAAATAAAGTTGGGAGATATATAACAAATGTTTTTGTATCTCAGGTGTCGATTTGATCACTGTGTCGTGACAGTCCATTTCAGTAAGAATTAATAAGCTGTTATATATAACAAATATAATCAAAATACTTATATAAACACAAGTTAAAGGTAGAAATATATTTAAAACAAATCGTAGCTTAAATAAGTTTCATAAGAGAAATCAAAAGTGAGAAATGGAAAATGTAAAAAGCAGAAAACTGAGGATTTCAAGTACTGTATGTACATCGCTTTTAATGTAGAATATACAATACATTTGACATGTTAGTGTAGTAATTACACTACAGCATAGGATGTTTTACACGCATGGATTCTTTTGAGTTTCAAAAACATGGTTACAGTATTATCTAACTCGCAGGTTTGTATGCGGTTCAACATTTGACTGTTTTTTTTACCATCATCCTAAACAGAAAAGGTCATTATTGAACATGTCGGACTTCAGGAGGTAGAGCAGGTTGTCCATTCATCACAGGTCAGGTTATATAATGACTTTTAAATAGCCACATTTGGATTAATTAACAGCCAAAACCCAGATCACAATGTGTCTTGAGGACACTTCTTTGAAAGTGATCAGCTCCTGACTTTGACAGCAGGCTCTCAGACAAGACATTAAGTCCTTATTTAAAAAATACTAGACACAACATCCATTCATGATCAGGTGTTATTGGAACAAACCCTGTCTTTGTGCAAAGTCATATATTTTCTTCGGTATAAATTACATACAAATAGATTTTATAGCTCCAGAAAAGTCTCCAAAAATCATTTAAACACAGAAAAAAGACATCGGGACAGAATATTTGTCAGAATCATCACGAATCAAAATAAATCAACTCAAGGTTTTTTTGTTTTGTTTAGAGGATTAGGTCCACATGAGAACATGTGGGACGGCTGGCGCAGTGGTCTGTGCATCTGATCAAGGGGGGTGCTGGGGAACTCCAGTTCGAAACCCGCTCCTGCCGCCACTGCGTCAGGCCGTTGTGTCCTTGGGCAAGACACTTCACCCGGATTTGCTCCTGTAGGTATTGTCCACAGTACATGTATGATACTAACGTGTACTTGTAAAAGCGCCTCGATGACTTCGAGGCGTGAAGATGGACGGTGTGGCGCAGTGCGCTGTGCAATGATCATCAGATCAAGGGATGAAACCCGCCGCTGCTGCGTCTGTAAAGCCGTTGTGTCCTTGGGCAAGACACTTCACCTGAACTTGCTCCTGTGGGTATTGTCCACAGTGACCATTGCATATATAAAAAATATGTGTAATGTGTATTTGTAAAGCGCTTTGAGCATCTGGAAAAAGCGCTATAATAAATGTAAGGAATTATTATTATTATTAACACATTTGACCAAAAGTACAATGTATTTCTTCTCGTGTAACCCTAATCCTCTTCCATACAAACCAAACAGTATCTCATTGTTTCCCCACAGACACAACACCAAGACCTCCAACAACCGAAGTAGAAGATATTGCATAACAAAGCTTTCCCTTTGATTGAGTCTAGTCAGGTGTTCTGAGGGTAAGTTCATTGTTGACGTTTTGTACCATGCTGGGTTAAAAACATATCCTAAGATATAAAATACAGAAAGAGAGATTTAATGACTCCAGAAAAGCCCCAAAAGAATCATTTAAACACAGACTAACACCATGCATAAAAACCAGCCAGGGTTAAAGATCCAAGTCAAAATATCTCGCTGCGAGGATTCATTTTCAACTTTGTTTGTTCTTTAGACTCCTGCCTACAAAACCAAAACAGTGTCCGAGATAAGGACCTGTTTTTGACCTCAAACAACCATTACATGATCGTGCAGGACATGTACTCTCTGAGTCTACACAGTCAGAGGGGATGTCAGGGCGTCAGTGAGTCCCTGCGTGTCCACAGCGGGGCTGCACAGCAGGGACGTGTCCTGCAGCAGAGACACCAGCTCCACAGGACCCGGAGGATCGCTCTGTGTCTGCGCAGGCTTCCTCTCCGTCTGCCTGGTCTTCTTGTAAACCAACCTCTTCGTGTCACTCAAACCGCTCAACCTGGAAGCGAGAGATCTCTTCGCCTGCTGCCTCTGGATCTTCTTCCTCTGCGGGTCGTGAGCGATGTTGTGACGCTGCAGACTCTGTTTCATGGCGAAGGTTTTCCCACAGCCTGCGTGGGGACAGGTGAAGGGTCTCTCCTCTTCGTGGAAGGAGCTGATGTGGCTCTGCAGGTTGAACATCTTAGTGAAGGATCTGTCACATCCCTCTCTGGGGCATTTGAGTACCACCCGGGTCTCAGAGTGCACGTACTGATGCTGCTGTAGGAACCAGGAGTCCTTGAACTCCTTGTTGCACTGCTCACACTTCAATGTGGGCCTGTGCTGCTCCTTCCTGTGCTTCAGATACTCCGTCCACGTCTTCCCTGTGAAGCTGCAGCCCTCCTCCTTGCAGGGGTAACCTTGATGCACCTTTCAAAAGATTCAAAGGTTTTATTGTCATATAATAAAATACAAAATAAAAACTAGTCCAAAAAGTCTAGATACCTGTCAATAGAATATGATATGTACAAGAACAGAATATGAAATGCACACAATGATATATGTTTAAAAACTCAAGTTGTACTCTTCACTAACAGAGTAACCTGTACTGATTTCTTGACAGGGTGAAGGAAAAGGACAACACCATTAATACCCTAGGTGTGTAATGTGCCAAACAGGAATATTTACCTTCTCATGCCTCTTCAGCTTACTGGGCACAGTGAACCTCATCTCACAGCCTTCATGAGTGCACTTATAAGGGGGTAACAGGGTGTGCTGCTCACACATGTGGGACTTCAGCAGCTCCTTCTTCTTGAACTCCAGCCCACAGCCTTCATATTTGCACTCGTACTTCTTGTGCTCCTGAGTGTGGACTCTAGTCATGTGTCTGGCTCGGTTTGTGTTGGTGGTGAAGGCCTCCTTGCAGCCGTCCTCGGTGCATTGAAAGGGCTTCACCCCGGTGTGTGTGAGCTCATGTCGGGTCAGATGGTAGGAGCTGCAGAAGGACTTCCGGCAGCCGTCCTGCCCACATGTGTGCGGCTTCACTCCGGTGTGTTTACACAGATGAGCGTCCAGTTTCCACTGCTTGTTGTAAGCCGCCGCGCAGCCGGAAACAGAGCAGATGTAGCGTTTCTGCGGCTCCGGTGTAGTCGCCATTTAATCATTAACGCTATTAAAACCCCGATTGAAAACACTGCTTCAGCACGGTGACCGTTTTGACACCGCTACTTCCCACAATCCACTGCGAAGTGACGCCACTTCCGAAACCGGAAGTTACGTATTACGTTCCCCAGTTGGTCGGTGGTGCGGATACGTGAGCATTTGTGAGTGTCATTTTTAAAGGTTTCTACTCTATGTAAACATGACAGCAGCACATTTAAGAATCCTACTATCTGTTGTTTTGTTTGCAGTTGTAATTAAGCTACAGTGTGTATATATTTCTGACGTAGGAGACGCTAACGTTACATAGAAGGCTAGCTATTGCTAATGTTAGCATGCTAGCTATTTTAAGTCCTCCATGCACAAATCTGGCATTTTTAAAATCTGTATTTACTGTATCTTGTAAATACTTCCATAGTCAATATTTCTTACTCGCCTACCCGCAATGTAGTGAGTGTTAATGAGCCAACTTACAGGCATACAGCCAAGTACAGTTGTTGATGGAGCGAGTGTTTACACTTTGTTTATATACCTTACAACCAGTGGTGGAGAGAGGTATTCATATTCTTTACTTGAGTAAAAACACTTGGAAAAATACTTAATTTTCAAGTAAAAGTACTGTGTGGAGAATGGTAATTAAAATATCTTGTACTTAAATAAAAGTATAAGAACCAGAGTGTAGGAATACACTGTAAAAGTAGAAAAGTATTCTCATCTAAATATAGTGAAAGTAGCGACAGTGAAAGTAGTCGTTGTGCAGATTGGTCCATTTCAGAATAATATATATGATATGTTTTATAATGATTGATCATGAAAGTGTTCTCAAAGCTGGTGAAGGTGCAGCTAGTCTGAATGACTTTGTATACTGCAGGGTAGCTTGTGGATTTACTCCAGGTGGAACTAAAGTCTGATTCAACACTTGATTATATTTCACATCATTCATCCAGATCTGTGAAGAAACTAAAGGTATTAAATACATGGAGTGGAGGAAAAGTATAAAGTAGCAACAGTTGACATATTCAAGTAAAGTGCAAGTACCTCAAAATTGTACTTAAGTGCAGTACTTGAGTAAACATACTTAATTACTTTCCACCACTGCTGCCAACATGTACTGTTGGCATTGTCCCTAATAACAACCCTGTTTTTAGCGAATGGTCTTATCAAACCTAGTGTTTGAATAGTTTTGTTTTATTTAGATGTAACCTCACATGTTTTGTTTTCACCGACATGACTTACTTCCTTATCCAGTGAAAAAAGGGTGAAGCCGTAACTCCAGCTGTCACTATGGTAAGTCGTGATGAGATGAATTCACAATAATCACAATGATGTTTCAAATCCAACTTGTACTCCTCACTAACTGCTGTTCTCCTGACAGGGTGAACGAAAAGGACAGAACCATTACTACCCTCCGGATTTTAATCCAGTCAAGGTGTGTGTGTGTGTGTGTGTGTGTGTGTGTGTGTGTGTGTGTGTGTGTGTGTGGTGTGTGTGTGTGTGTGTGTGTGTGTGTGTGTGTGTGTGTGTGTGTGTGTGTGTGTGTGTGTGTGTGTGTGTGTGTGTGTGTGTGTGTGTGTGTGTGTGTGTGTGTGTGTGTGTGTGTGTGTGTGTGTGTGTGTGTGTGTGTGTGTGTGTGTGGGTGTGTGTGTGTGTGTGTGTGTGTGTGTGTGTGTGTGTGTGTGATGTGTGTGTGTGTGTGTGTGTGTGTGTGTGTGTGTGTGTGGTGTGTGTGTGTGTTGTGGTGTGTGTGTGGTGGGTGTGTGTGTGTGTGTGTGTGTGTGTGTTTGTGTGTGTGTGTGTGTGTGTGTGTGTGTGTGTGTGTGTGTGTGTTGTGTGTGTGTGTGTGTGTGTGTGTGTGTGTGTGTGTGTGTGTGTGTGTGTTGTGTTTCCTGACTTCCCATAATGCTTTGTTTTTAGCATGGATCCCTCAATGGCTACCATAAAACCCACCCCCTGCGGGAGAGGGCCAGGAAACTGTCCCAGGGCATCCTCATCATCAGGTTAGTGTACACATATTAAAGCAGTTGTAAGTTGGATTTTAATTATTTGCCAAACAGGAACTAATATATGTTAAATGTCATAGCTTTGGAAGTTATCGAAAAGGACATATTTGTATGAGCAAATGAAGCTCTACTTGTATATAATGCGTTTTACTGCCACAAATAAGTGAGTATGCATGCTTCATATAACTGATACACATATACAATTTAGTGCCACGATTTAAATAAATATAGTAATAGATAAACACACTAGACAAAAAACTAAGATGTATTTGATGTGGTGTTTGCAATTGAGACGCTGCTTACATGCATGTTTAACTTGTTGTTGTCCCTTGAAGGTTTGAGATGCCCTACAACATCTGGTGTGATGGCTGCAAGAATCACATCGGCATGGGTGAGTCTGAAGAAACACACTCTATTAGTGTCGCAGTCGTATACAATGGCTTTTCATTTCCCTGACACTGGTTTTCTGCTCGGTACAGGGGTCCGTTACAACGCTGAGAAGAAGAAAGTGGGGAACTACTACACCACGCCAATCTACAGGTGAACACAGTACCTATCCCTCTCTATGTCTACTGATCAAGGCTTTTGTTGTCATGTGTACATAGCTACAGTTATGACGATGTAAATCTGAGGTCACAGGCTCCTCCCACAGAGCAACACAACAACACGGATACAATAGTGCAAGTAAATAAAATAGAATAGAATATAGAAGGAATCGTGCAGAATAGTCTATATACAAGTAATTGAAATATTGATATGTATAAGTTGCAAACAGATGAATGTTCTTTCAAAGGTTCAGGTGTTTAAAAGTCTTATGGCCTGTGGGATGAAACTGTCCTTTAGATCAGGGGTTCCCAAAGTGGGGGTCGCGAGATGATTACAACATCTAAATGGAAAATTAAAAGAAATAATATATTTTTTAATAATAACGTGCGCATAGACATTTTTCAGGGGCGGACTAGCCATCTGTAGAATATCCCCGCAGCGAGGCTCCCCCCGTTGAAAATCCACTAGCGCAGTGTTTCTCAAACCTTTTCATACCTATAGGTGCATTCACACTGCGGTACTTTTCCCACAAAGGTTCATGAGAACCTTTTTACCCCCACGAAAGTCCCTGCTAGAGAGCAGAGAGCTGCTAGAGAGCAGAGAGCTGCTAGAGAGCAGAGAGCTGCTAGAGAGCAGAGAGCTGCAAGAGAGCAGGGACTTTCGTGCGGCTCTCTTGTGAGAAAATAGCTATATGTCTGATTGGCTGGAAGGATTGCAAACCACGCCCCGTAAAACTCCCAAAAAGGAGTTTTTGTGAAGCCGCCATTTTATTATCCTCGCATTAGCATTATTAGCATTAGCCCAGCGCAGAAACGCAGAGAGACTAACTTATGGCAACACAAAATAAAACATGGGAGCGGTGGAGATGAGGAGGTGTCGGCGTTCTGGCGATTTACTCGGAAGGCTTCAGTAGAAGCTGCTGGGACTCCCAGCAGCTTCTACTGAAGCCAGTCTCCAACTCCGGGGACTTCCGGCCGGGGACTTCGGGCGGCAGAATACGCCGTGAAGCGGTTTGCGGCCTGCCAGTAAACCCAAAGCAGAAGAAGAAGAAGTGACGTCAGCGGCTTCATTTGCCTAATCCACCCCCAGGGACTTATTCCGGTGTGAACGCGATCTGAACTTAGTTCATGAGAACTAAAGAGTTCTCATGAACCTTTGTGGGAAAAGTACCGCAGTGTGAATGCGCCTAAGGACCACCAATACAAAAACACTCACGGACCACCTGACTCCACAATAGGCCTGCTCACCACTCCAACAGTACATACAGCCTAATAATGACAGCTTAACCTTCTCTGTATCGCCTCGTTCACACAACAAATACAACAATACAAATACAACTACAGATCATAAGCATTTAGTTGAAATGCGATTTAAAATGCTCTCAGGTTTTACACCTCTTATGAAATGTGGACTACATTTATTACGGAGTTTATGTCCGACAGACTCACAGATCGTTGGCTACTGAGAGAAATGCAAAACACACCGCATGTAGTACGACACAAACCTCCGCTGTGGATTTTCAAAACAAAATACAGTAAAGCTTTGGTCGCAGGCCCAAGTTGAACTCTCTGAGGCCGGCATGGTCTAACAACAGCCTCTGATCATCAACAGACTTCATGCTTCATCAGATGCATATATTACATAATAATCTCTATCTCACTCCTAAAACCTCTAAATCTACTTCCAGCATGAATAAATGTTCATAAAATGCATCCATTGTTTGTTCTATACGCTTCTTGAAATCATAAAAAACACATCGTCTTTCGAGAACAGATTACAAATCGCCTGAAAATGGTACCAACAAGTGGCAACATGTGTGACGAAGGTGTTGCGCTGGGCTATAGCATGCAATCGAAAGTGAAACTTAAGACCACTCCATTGGGACCACACTTTGAGAAACACTACACTAGCGCACCCCCCCCCCCGTTGACAGGGGGCGCGGGCTGAACAGTTTGGGAACCCCTGCTTTAGATAAACATGAGCCTCTCTGATAAAGAGATTTAAAGCTGAATAATTAAAGACTCTTTTTGTCAACCAGGTTTAAGATGAAGTGCCATCTGTGTGTGAACTACATCGAGATGCAGACGGATCCGGCGACCTGCGACTATGTAATAGTAACCGGAGGGAGCCGGAAGGAGGAGCGCTGGGACATGGCGGAAAACGAGCAGATCATCACCACAGGTAAAGCGTTTGGGCTGGGAACTGAAATGAGGATCCTGGTAAGAAACAAATACAAAATGCCTGGAAGCCGTTTAAACAAGAGAATATCTGCTTTACTTATCGGTTCCTAAACACACACACTGAGGGTTACGGCCCGTCCACACAGCAGCTTTAATCGTCTAAAGCTGCTGTGTGGACGGGCCGTTAGGGTTCATTTGAGTAAAGGTAACGGATGTATGTATGTTATCAATAGGGTTGGGATCGGAAATAGATTCAAGATTAAGCTACAGTGTAGAAATGGCAATGAAATTCTTCTGACCTGAGCTCCTCCAACAATGCAACATATATAATGAAATACAAAAATACAAATAAAAAATAGGGCAAGAAGTCGAGTGCCGCGTTCTAAAACCCAGAAGTAAACTCCTTCCGGTTCCTTCGACAAAAACAAATCTGGCCATTTTTAAATCTTCATTTACTGTATAAATACTTCAATATTTCTTACTCACCTACCCGCAATGTAGTGAGTGTTAATGAGCCAACTCACAGGCATTTTATATACCTTACAACCAGTGGTGGAGAGAGGTATTCATATTCTTTACTTGAGTACAAATACTTAAATCATATTGTAAAAATACTTCATTTTCAAGTAAAAGTACTGTGTGGAGAATGGTAATTAAAAGATCTTGTACTTGAGTGAAAGTAGAAGTACTCAGGTCTTGTACTTGAGTGAAAGTAGAAGTACTCAGGTCTTGTACTTGAGTGAAAGTAGAAGTACTCAGGTCTTGTACTTGAGTAAAAGTAGAAGTACTCAGGTCTTGTACTTGAGTAAAAGTAGAAGTACTCAGGTCTTGTACTTGAGTGAAAGTAGAAGTACTCATATCTTGTACTTGAGTAAAAGTAGAAGTACTCATATCTTGTTCTTGAGTAAAAGTAAAAGTACTCGGGTCTTGTACTTGAGTAAAAGTAGAAGTACTCAGATCTTGTTCTTGAGTAAAAGTAAAAGTACTCGGGTCTTGTACTTGAGTAAAAGTAGAAGTACTCAGATCTTGTACTTGAGTAAAAGTAGAAGTACTCAGATCTTGTAGTGAAAGTAGAAGTACTCAGATCGTGTACTTGAGTAAAAGTAGAAGTACCAGAGTGTAGGAATACTCTGTTACAGTAAAAGTCCTGCATTCAAAATGTTCCTCAAGTGAAAGTAGAAAAGTATTCTCATCTAAATATAGTGAAAGACAGTGAAAGTAGTCGTTGTGCAGATTGGTCCATTTCAGAATAATATATATGATATGTTTTATAATGATTGATCATGAAAGTGTTCTCAAAGCTGGTAAAGGTGCAGCTAGTTTGAAGTACTTTGTATACTGCAGGGTAGCTGGTGGATTTACTCCAGGTGGAACTAAAGTCTGATTCAACACTTGATTATATTCTCATCATTCATCCAATGCAATCTCTCCATAGGGTTTTGGAAAATAGCTTGAAATACGGTCTGTGGTTGAGACACATTTAAGAGACGGGTCACGTTTTGTTCAGTCGGATAATCTCCACATCTCGACCCTACTTTTATAATTTTATAATCATAAATCTATCGATTGCGTTGGTTTTTGTCGAAGGAGCCGGAAGGAGTTTACTTCCGGGTTTTAGGATGCGTCACTGTGGCACTCTATGTACATGTAAAATAGAAAATGATATAGAACAGAATATTAAGTTAAATAATGTACATTAATATGACATTTAATAAGGTTTATTGTTGCGGTGATAACTATGTATATAAATAAGTAGATAGCAAGATGACAAACAGATGAATGGGTTATTTTAACATAAGTATTTTATTTTTCTGTGTAAAACCATGTAACCTGTTTTGAACCAGAATCATTCAAATTCAAACAATAACAACCCCTTGATATCACTCATAACTTCTGTGGCTTTCTTACTTCACTACTGTGGTGTAATTCATGCTGGAAATCAGCACCATAACATCAACCCAAAGGTTTTATGTTTTGATCGTGCTCTGTCAAAAGTACAGTCCATCTCAAACTGGAAAAAGGGTTTTCATATTTTCGCTGCATTGGGGCTTTTATTTTATTCTTCACAAAGACACAGGCTGCTTCTTGCCTCCTGATTTTTCGTTTGTTCCTGATCCTCTCCGTCTCTCCGTACAGAGCACAAGGAGAAGGAGAAACTGGAGACAGATGCCATGTTCAAACTGGACCACGGTGGGAAGGACAAGGAGAAGATGAAGAAGGCTCTGCCCTCTCTGGCCGAGATCCAAGACTACCAGGCCAGCAAGAAGGACGACTTCCAGCTCAACAGCTCCCTCCGCAGGAAGTTCAGGGTAAGAGAGACACCGCA